AAGGTAAATTTATTTCCGTTCCGTTCCGCTGGCCGGTGAGTAAGCGTGACTTGCAAAAAGTATGTTTGCCTTGCAGTAGTTGTGTGGGTTTCCCTGGGGGCCATTCTGTCCTCTTATTTGCAGTTGCACATTGTGAACTTCAAAGGTGTCACTGGGCATAAGGTATTCAGTTCAGAAAATTGAAGGCTTTACCAAATTACAGGTTAGTCATTTTTACTGACCATTTTGGGGTGTCAAAGGTGAACTGCAGATTAACTGAGTTGCAACGGGGCAGTAATTTTAGCAAGGAATTCAGGCGCTGTTTAAAACCTTCGAGCAGAGTTTAGTGGAATTGCTAACTCAAATCAGCGCCTATCGTATTTTGAATTCCTGGTAATTATTCTGAGATTTGTTACCGAAAAGGCGAGTTGTTCACTCCTGTGGCTTCTGGAGGCTTTGCATAAGAGAGATTTAGGGATCAAGCTTAGCAGCGTGATTACTGTCTTTCAGAGAGAGATTTTCAGTGAGACAAACGTTTATCGTAATGATCAGACTTTGAGACCCGGGGATGTCCAGTGTTATTCACTTGTTGAAATGCATTGTTACGATGCGTGCCTCAGTTTCTTCCTTTGACACGTTTGACAGAAGGGCAGAGGAAAGAAAGTTAATGCACACGTGTACGCTTTCCAAACCTGAAAGATTTTAAAAATTAGAGTCCCTTCTGATAGGTTCAAAGCGTTGTTCAGGAGCTGTACACTGTATATGTATAGATTACCGTTACTGACAAATTCTGTAGTTGTATGACTAAACGATAGGATTTTACTGGTGTGCGCTCTTCACAATGCTGACAAATACCACTGCTTAGATACGTATCGTCGGTAAGACAATCAGTATGCTAGTACTGTTGTACTATTAATCATGTTGGGACGCCCTCCCGATATGCAAGGGGCTGTATAAAGCCGCTGGAAATTGTACTGTAGATCAGTGTGCTACTGACTGCTTGAAGCTGGAGTGAAAAGGCTAATGTGTGGATAAATCTACCATTTAGGTTTGAACCGTGAGACCGGTACCTGCTATTTTCAGCCATACAAAAACTGTCCGTCAACGATGGACAATTTTGGTATCGCTGAAAATTTCTGTTTCCGATGGGCAACGCTGATATGTTATGCGAACGTACAGAAGGGGAACCTCGTTCGCTGTACACTTATCAACTTGTACCGTTTGGCATTGCACAGCGACACTTGTGTAAAACTAGCTTCTTCACCGTGGGTGTTAGGCCAATAGACTTGAGTGAGGGAGCGAGGAGGAAGTGATAAGATGGCGGTTGAGGAGAACCAAAAAGTCCCGGGTTTTTATTTGAATAACATTGGGACTGTGAGGGGACGATGACAGGTGGTGTATCCTGGAATGGGCCTAAGGGTCTTCTTCACCTGAACCGTCCTTGTGATCTCGTGCCCTGTATCTGAGCAACTCGGGTCACTTAGAAGCCCAGCAGGCCAAGAGTTGTGACGTTCTGCTACACTGTGCTGCCGCCCGACCTTGTGATACTCAATAAACTCAAGCTATTGTCGTAACTTTCACGTAACAGTGTTCAGCTCCTTCCTTCCTTCCTTCCTCCCTTCCTCCACCCACCTTGACCGTGTGGAGAACTCGCATTCTTCAAGGGCCACTCTAGGCACTGACGTCAGCCTTTTGGGACGTTGGGGAGATCGTGAGCTGGTTCGTTTTGCTCAATTCTTTTCTTAATGACGGGTGCGGGGGACGTTATTATACTTTTCCTGATATTTTCTTTGGCGCCTGACATGTGGAAATCCATCACCGGGTTTAAGAGTATTCAAACTGCACACGTGTAGCCAATCACACGTGGAAATTTCCGTTTGGAACCGGATGCGTACTGCTTCCCCCGGAGAATACTGGGTAGACGGTGACGATGGCCAAGGCTCGGGGACTCCACAGTGCAAGTTAGGATAATGCTGAGGTTTAAGCAGACTGTACTGCGTACGGAGTGAGCGTTGTCTGGCAAGCTTCCTGGTGCTTTTCCAGCGAGCACCACGGTACCCCTTTCGGAGCTGTGGCTTGCAGATTTAACGGGAGCCAATTAGGGGAGATTCCCAGCCCCCAGTGACCGGTCTGCCCCTCCAAATCCCGCTGATGGGCTGGGCTGGGCTGTTCGGTCGCCAGTATTGCGTTGCTGTACTGCGGACTTGCCTGGCTCAGGAACTGGCCCACCGAGACGGCCGCGGAGATTTGACTCAACTCTGGCATTCGGTTGCTAAACATGTCGCCTCAGAACCAGTTTCAAGTGACCCCACTTATCTCGCCTCCCCCCTTTCCCCCCCCCCTCCCCCTTCTCCACCTCCGGAGAGCGAGCAGTGATTGATGACTTTCCTCAGTAAAGTCTGGAAGTCCTGTGAAATTAATTAACGCTGCGCACACAGATCAGGGATTACGCCTGGGGATTTTGCTCGTTCTGGGGTCCGAAACAAGCTCACTGAACCGTCAGGAACAAAAGCGTATCGTTTTCTTTTTTGTTAATATCTTAAAAAAACAACCAAATCAGCTCGCCCCTTCGCTTCAAGTTTCTTCAGCAGTCCATTCTGTAGCCCGCAAGGCAGCTGAGAAAGTTGCTGAGTAGGAGACAAGCGACGGATGGGTTCATGCGGCCACTTGTCTGTGGCACCGTATTGCTCAGGATGTCGGTTTGCGTTCTGGGACAAAGTCTGTGCTGAGTCTGAGCTGGTAATGTATTTAGGAACACTTCCCAAAGCAGCTTCAGCAGAATTATCACACAGGTCGATTCTGTTTGAGATGAAGCGAGGATAGGGAATGGCGGTGGGAGACAGAGACTCAGAAGTATCTCTCTGTTCTGTTCAGCTCCACGGTGTGACTCAACGATGGGTTGTGCCCTCTGTTTTATATTTTGGTTGTGTTAATGACATTAACCAGCAAGAGACCTGGAGATACAAATACTTCTTTTAATCCCCCGGTAATAAAGCCCTGGAACAGTTTTTCAAAGGGGTTTATGCGTCTGTTATTCTTGTAACAAGTTCAAACCCACATGGATTTACTGTAACTGGGGCGTGGATCTGTCCTGGGTTAGCTTGTAAATAAAATCAAACCTTTAAATCGGTCACCTTGCGTCATCGTGAAACTCCGAAATGCTTTGGTGTCATTTTACAGTGGGTTCCTTATATATAGCAGACACTGGCTTGTGCTGGTTTGTTAGTAGCTATTTGCTCGCTGTTTTCTCTCCTGCGAGCCTTGCTAGCCAGCGATCTGCATTTGGACTCATTGAGGTAACAATAATACTTCATTAATAACTAACGTTGCATTTGGTAGCGGTGCCTTTCAAGTTGGGAGGAGGTTGCAAAATACTTTGTACGATTTACCGTAAAGTGTAGTGACTGCGTTAGTTTGTAGGCAGCACGTGGCAGCCAATTTAGGTGATAGCAGCCGGTTTGTGGGTCTCTCAAACAGCCATGAAGTGAACGACACAGACATTTTTTTTTAATCCAGGCGATTGTTAGTCCGGAAACCGGGAGAAACTCCCTCTTCTTCTCGAGTAGCGCTCTGGGATCTTTAACGTCCACCTGAAGAGGCAGACAGGATCCCGGTTTAATGTCTCCTCTGAAGGACGGCCAACATCTTCAATAATCCAGAACATCCCAAACACTGCATCGGAGTGTCCGCCGAGTGAGTTCAAAGCCCCCGACTTGGGGCTTGAACCAATGACCTTAGAACCTTTGAATCGCTTTCCTTCAGTCGCGCCTTTCCGTTTTCTTTGCTTTTTGCCTTGACGTATAGTTTGCAAATAATATCCGGTGGGCGGATCTTTTGACGCTCGCTCTTACCCGTGAGGATAGCGTGGGGGAGTCGGTGGGCGTTGGCAACAAAAATAATAGTTTGGTCATTTTTTGTGGATTGCAATTAGAACCAGTTTTTTTTAAAAAAAGGCACGTACAGTAATGCCCGACAAACCTGTGTGTGTAATAGTTGGCGTCAAGTGTTGGTAGAGTGGGTCTGCGTCTCCTTGCTTGTAAGATAAGTTGTATTTATCTGTACCGTATCAAAGGAACAGTGTTTGTAGACTGAAATGACACAGTAGCATGTTAAATAATCCCGAAGCCAGTTATAATGGTTGCGCTGTATTGGGTTAAAGTGTAGCCCTTCTTTTTTGCGTTAATACTTGGTGTTTGTGTAAAGAATCGTGCTTTTAAATAAAACGCTCCGTTATCCCAAGAGAAACTATCAATGTAAAGAATTATCCGAACTTAGAAGGAGATGTTTCAAAGTACTGACACTTCCCTCTGATGAGTGAGGGAAAAGGGGTAATAAAAACCACTTCGTTTTTTAAAATAAATCATGGTAATCTTAAGGCAAAAAAACCCATAGGGAACATGAACTTTCGCAGTTAGACGGTTCCTCTTTAAAGGTTCCCAAACAGCCACTGACGTTTCATTGCTAATTGTGTTTAGAAGTATATAATACATACATATATATATATATATGGAAACCTGTAGCTCAGTGGTTAGGGCACTCGCCTCGCAAGCGAGCGACCTGGGTTCGATTCCCGGGCAGGGGGCGAAACGTTGGGCAAGTTTCCTTACTCCACACACACACACCTCTGTTTACCGAGCAGTAAGTCGGAACCCGCTTGTTAGTCGATTGGCGGATTGCTTTTCCGGGGGTAATAATTCCTTCAAAAAAAGACAACGTGGTCACTCAACCCACGACCGTTTGTGGGACGCCGCTGTGCGCAATAGGCTGCCGCGTTGCGCCCGCAAAATATACAGTCACTACACTTTACGGTATATATTATGCGAAGCGGTTCGAGACAGCTCAACGACGTGATAAGGCGCTGTATCGGATGCTGTTACCGTTTATAAAATGATCAATAACTAATAACAGTTTGCAAACGCTCTGTATCGTTCTGCAAATACCGCAGTCACGATTCACGTATATCTGTGATTTTTTTTTGCCATTAACTTTCGGTTTGTGTGTGACTGTTTTTTTTCCCCCAGTTGGCTCATTTGACCCTGAAACCGAAACGAACGTGTTGTTCCCGACGGTGAAATCATGAGCAACTACAGTGTGTCTTTGACTGGCCCGTCGCCATGGGGTTTCAGACTGCAAGGTGGCAAAGACTTCAACATGCCCCTGACAATCTCCAGGGTAAGTTATCGATTTGATTTTTTTTTCCCCATCCGATATCAGCTCTTGTCATTCACAGTCTGCAGCGATGGGCGACTTTATAATTGCAACGCGATCGGTTGATAGGCATGATGATTTATGCCCGATGTCTTTCCTCGGGTGGCTTGTGGCACACCGAACCTGCCGGAATAGTTCGATGGACGAACAGGTAGATAGGTCCCCCCCCAGCGAAGAGCAACGTGATCTGTTGTCTCTTCGCAGAACCCTGTCGCGTTCTGAGATCTGGAAACAGCGGGGCCAGAGTGCAACACACAAAGCTGCTGGCAGTAGGCGTGAGCGAGAGACTAATTTTAGCGTCAGTCGAACTAAACATTACGAAAACTGTATTATTGTCACAGACGGCGCAAGTACATTCAGCTAAACTATCGTTAGCGCAGTCCTGGCAGGAACAGAGTGACATCACCTGTGGACAACAGTAGTAAGGAAATATTTATCTTAACACTTGTTTGCATCGGGCAAGAGATGGTCCTGTATATTTTTTGTGACGCAAGAGCAACAATTTTTATTTCTACAATAGCCTTCAAGCAGGTTATCATCTCTGTACAGCTTGTGTATAAAACGGACAGCTTTTGATTTTAAACTCTGCTTTTCGCTCGCTCTTGAAAGACATTTGGTATTGCAGGGTTTAACCTTTTGCTAACTGAGGTGAGCTGACAGGACGGAGAGAGCAGTTATGGGGAGAAATTCGAGATTTACTTCACAAAGCATTTCCGAATGGCCAGAATTTGGCTCCTTCTTCAAACCTCGTCTCAATTTCGAAGTTGGATTTCCCTCAACTTTTTTTTTAGAAAAAGGAGTTTTTCCAACACATTCCACGGTCACAGGGCTTTACTGCAAATCCTGCGACGTGCTTTGAAACGTTGTCCTCCTAACGCGAAAGGGGCTACATCAAACGCAAGGACTCTTTATTAGAGAAAAATGATTTTGAATTCAACAATTTGCCACATTTTGGACACAGTAAAATGCTCAATAAGTAGACGACATTTCTCCCCATTTAGAGAGTTGTAACCAGAGGCCCACTCTGATTATCATGGTTTAGGGAACCCCTCCCTCGCTGCACATTTTGAGATGATTGTGTCATTTTGCTGCTGTTTACAATAATAATCCTCGCATTTGCTGCAAGCATTTTATCACTTTGTCGGGATGTCTCAAAATGCTTTGCAGCGTTTTGCTGCGCAGATTGCGTATCTGTAGGCAACGCATTTTATGCTGCCCGAGACCAATTGAATGTGCTGAAGATATCCGTGGAAATGTTTTACAGTTTGGGATCCAATCGAAGTTTAGTTCCATTGGTACTAAAATTATAGTATACGCCGGTGATGGGTAGTGAGGAGAGTATGGGGAGAGGTTTAAAATATTGATTCTTTGCTTCATCCCAACTTCAGTCAAGCTTGTTTAAACAACTACCTCCCTTCAGCAACTACTCCCTGTTAACAAACACCTGGTTTGCACACCGGCGAAACCTTCTCAGAGGCCATCCTTATATAAAAAGCCCTTTGGCCCAGTCCCTGAGCAGTTTTTGAAGCGGTTTGGCTGTACCTATCTCGAGAGTTTTCAGGAATCTCATTCACGCAGAACAGTTTTCAAAAGAACTCTAAACATTTGGAGCGGTGCGGAGGATGTCAGATGGACTGCATTTGGACTCTTAACCACATTTCTTTGTGAAAAAAAGAAGGAGTTTAACATTAAAACAGCTTTCTGAGTTACCGCGTGCGGAGTTTGTGCAAAGCTCGCCTCGGTCCCCGGCCAATGAGATTTTTTTCTTGGAATAATTGGAAAATAAAATTCCTAATTCCTTCTCAGAACCGTTCTGCTGTTGAAAATAAAAGGTGTCGGGTTTCAGCCTGGCTCAGTTGGTAGGGCACTTGTGCCTGAGTCAGAAGGTTGTGGATTCAACCACCTTGTATCGTAGATTCAACTCACTGACGCTCCAACGCAGCCCTGCACTGTCAAAGATACTGTCCTTCGGATGAGATGTTAAACCGCAACCCTATCAGCCTGCTCGAGAGGATGTTAAATAACCCGTTGCCACTACTCGAGAAGAGAAGGGAATTTGTTCCAGTGTCCTGGCCGAACATTCCCCCAAATAAAATCGGTCACTCGCTTTACAAAACACAACATTTGTATAGCCCCTTTCACGTCGGGAGGACGTCCCAAGGGGCTTTATGGCTTTTTGTGGGACATTGCTGAGTGCAAATTGTCTGTGGCATTCGCCTACAAAATACGCAGTCACTACATTTCACAGTGAATCCCGTGGAACTCTTCAGACGTCCTTCTGGCGTACGTCAAATACAATTATTATTATTATTATAGGGAATCGATCAGCATACGAAATTGGATGTTAATCGATCAAAGTAAATGCTATGAAATTGTGACAACGCAAAGGTCACAACCCTCCTGAGAATTATCTGAGTTTACCATTTAAAAAAAAAAAATCGATTTCAAATATTTTTGTGATTACCGCGTTGTTATTTGCAATAATTGACCACGTCTGAACTAAATTTATTACCCGGCTAAAGTTGCATCAGACGTATTTCTCAGCAGTGTATATGATCGCAGTCCTGTTTCTGAACGTCCGTCGTGTCCCACGTGTTTCGAGCGCTCGTAGCGTAGCTGAAGCAGGAAGATATTAAAATAACAAGAGAAATGGATTTCCCAGCTCCATTGAAATGGTTAAAAGAAAAGCTCTCCCGGGGGCTCTATCTCCCGATCTGTTGTTGGAATGCGAAAGGAGCGTAACTTGGATTCGTGGCAACTATGTGGCTAGGTGCTATTACAAGTAACGTGCAGCTTTTCTTATAAAGCTTTTCAAAGTGTGTAGTTGCCAGACTGATACTTTAAGCACTACCAAATTCTTTGCCCGGCGCAACACAAGAGAACGTGCTTTCACAGCTGAAGGAAGGAATGCCTTTCTCTCCGGCTCGCAGTGCTAATTAAGAGCTTAGAGCTGCACCGATCAGAGGCGTAGAGCTGACGGATGGGGTAAAGGTACCCACCGCTTTGTACTTTCTCAAAGGCTCTGCTGTTGTTCAGGATGACCTTTTCGGGCCTGGTCTGCATCTCATTCCAGTCATTCCCGCTAGTCAGGGTATCTGGCTGCTCCGCACTGTGGGGTGTTGACATTTGGCTCAGCAAATTGTGTGAATAGACTAGATGTTGAGGAGTGAATCGAGACAATAATCCGTCTGTCAGTGTATCATCATTGTTTCTTTCCTTGATCTTTCTTTCCCTTCCTCCCCATCTCCTACCCCTCACTCCAGTTCTAGCCTGGCTACGTACATAATGCTGATGTCCTGTACGGTACACCTGGCTTCTCGTGCTGATTACTAGTTGGATTCCCCGCTAAAAATAGGCCGATGCGTGGGTCATCGGGTTGCTGCTGATGCCACGTTCTGTTGTGTGTGCGCCGTGCGACTCGTCTCACTTCCCGAAGCAAGTGATGTCCACAGTGACCTGACAACATCGTCCGACACTCCCAGTTTGCTTATATCATGGCCACTGAGGTATTGGTCGGATGTCCTACACTGTAACGGGGTTGATCTGTACCAGGCAATTGTTCTCGTTTAGTCCTCGTGGAGTCCTGTAGTGTCGTGCTTGGAGCACTCGCCTCACAAGCGAGAAGACCTGGGTTCGATTCCTGAGTGGGGAGAATAATAATAATTAGGCAATAATAATAATACTAATCCTTGCATTTGATATCGTGCCTTATCACGTCTGCGAGATGTTTCAAAGTGCTTCACAGAATAGACTGTAAAGTGAATTGTCTGAATATTTTGGCAAGTTTCCTTCTTCCCTAGCAGTAAGTATGAACCTGGTTGTTAGTCGATTGGTGGACGCTTTCCGGGGAGAATAATCTGTTCAAAAAACAATAAGAAGAATTTGGTCACTCAATCCACGACTGTTTGTGGGACGCTGCTGTGCGTAATCGGCTGCCGCGTTTCGCCCGCAAAATCTAGTCAATTCACTTCACAGTATGTTCTGTGAAGCGCTTTGAGACGTCTCGAAGACCTCTTGAGGAGCTATATGGACTGCAAGGATTATTATTACTTTAATTATTATTATCCTGCTGGTCTGCCCTTCAGTATTCTCCAATTTCTACTGCAGAATGACTTGCAAAGGGCCGTTCCCCTCGTGGCTTCTGACTGACCGCTTTTCTTGGACGGTAAATGTAACGTTTTTTCAGAAGCAAAAAGGATCTTTATATCCCATCTTGAGGTGTGAGTGCTTGGCACTACGAGTTAGACCCTTGTGTCACTGAGTGCTTTTGATCTCTCTCCAGGGGATCCCAGCATTGCTTTGCTCGTGTCTCCTTCCATCCCGAGCGATTTAGGGCAATGATGAGTACCAGTCCAGTGATGCCTTATTACGATATAATAATCCTTACCTTTGGTGCAGTGCTTTTCACGTCTGGAGGACTTTCCACGTAGTCTTTTCCATTTATCATTCTTCCACTTGGGTTCAATCTACCCGTCTCATTTTCAAGTATTTCCTGTCATGACTCAAAGTGAATAAAATAGGTTACGCACCAGATCCCAAGGCAGTATGGAAATGAAAATGCCCTGAACAGGTGCTATGGACCTAAATAGTCATTAAACTATCTAGCTGAATAACCATTTTGCATTCACAAGGATATTCTCAGTGCAATATTTACTCTAAAGATATGTTTGTTGAATACCTTGCGCTGATGGTATTGAACAAACTTTTAGCTTGCAGCATATTTTGGCAGAGAAACTTGTCGTGCGGATCTGGGCTGGACAGGGATTATTGAAGCACTTCAGAACTGGGCTACTTGAACTCTCCGTTTACATTTCATCAACTTGCGTTGATTACAATACAGTTTACAATAAACCCTTGAAATGAAGTACTCAGACATTGCAGCGTCTCGGAGTATTTGATTTCTAGGGTGCACGGAAGCTTTATTGTAAACTAGATTAACTTGAACAAAAATAATCGGAGGGTGG